TATATATATATATATATATATATATATATATATATATATTATGCCGATTGAAATGATTCTCTTTTCTTTTAGTTTTTCTTCTTAGCTGTGATCGAGTAATCTCGATATGTACGTTTCTAGTATATGCATATATGTAACCGTATATAACTTGTATGTAAATCCTGAGTAATAAACCTTCGCGGTGGATGACGTAACTCAAGAAGCGTCCACGTGATACAGCCGTCAGTGAAACTCGAGTTTCGTCATGCGAATGCGACGTTTTATTATCACGCGCAACTGCGAACGAACTCAATAGTACTTTAATCTTAATAGACATCATTTTCTTATTTGAATAATACACGAGCATGTTATTCCTTTCTCTAATTTTTGATTTCTTCTAATGCATTCTTTAAAAGGAGTCATACATATTTAATTATACATATTTAATAAAAATTGCCTCCATTAATTTTTTCTCCCCGTTCCGCGGTCTCCTTCGCGCTTCGCGGAGATATGAACATACGCGCTTCGTGTGTCGTGTAGCAGCCGCGCGCCGAGCGCAGGACACCATTCCTGCCGGTGCGTGTACATTATTATAAATCACTATATATTAAATATTTTAATAATTAATTGGAATAAGAAATCGTAATACAGAAATTTTAAGATTGTAAAAATTAGAAGCGATAGTATTTATTTTATTATCGTTATAGGTCCTCATTATATAAATGTAATAATTATTAGATATGATTAAGTAATTGAATATGTGTATCCAATTACTCATCATTTAATTAAAAATCCTAAATTATGCAAAGCACGATTTATTTCTATAATTATCATACATTAAATTTGATGTTTAAATTTTTAATTCAATTTTTATATACATAAAAACAAAATGCTATCTCATGTGTTAAATCTGTTTTTATATGATTATATTTTATAAGCCTTCTTTCTGTGCATGCAGCACGCATGCAAAGATCAAAGACCATAAAATTGTGCGATATAAAAATGCCAACTACAGTTATATTTTCGAATATTTTTTTTCAATCAAATATAAAGTTAACTAATACGCAAAACGTTTACGTCTTATTTAAGATCTATATTCATATGAAGTGAGTGCCCAATCGTGCGATCATGCTATTAAACAAAATAAATTGCTTAATCCTAAAACTCGTCAGAGTACTGCGGTGCATTCGAAAACGACAGTGTATATACATGGAAATCATCGTTCGCACCGAGAAAGTGAAAGCCAATAAGAAGACAAGTGAAAAGAGACATGCGCTCGCCTTGCGCTGATGCAATTGGACAATTAAGCGGTTTTTGTTAACGACTCGTACAGGTTCACATAAACGCGCATGTATTACGAAAAATTATTTATTTGCCGCTGTTATTTTCCTACGATACCCATCGGCTGTATTACACTTAAAAGATACATTTTTAGCTCACAATAAATAATTCATGTTTTACTTTAATATTATTTAATATTCTTTCATTTTTAATTTTCTTCTTCTAAAACGTGGTTTGGCTATATATTGACTTTGACACAAGCCTCGAGCATCAGGAAAGAGAAGAAATTTTTTTTCTTCTCATTAGAGAAAAGATGAAAAGTTTATGGAACCAATTAAGTATGAAATTAATAATCAATCCTTGAAAAATTACAGTCTTGCAATTATAATATATATTTTCTTCATTGACATCATTGATGCTAAGATCCATTGAATTATTTGCCAATTTGCTAGTAAAAAATAATAAATAAAATATCTCTACTTCGATAATGTAATGCCTTGTTACGAAAGTCCAGAAGGGCGGTATATACGATAGACGAATAACAATGTTAGACTACAAGGTCAGTTTTAAACACGTCCGATGACATATCGTTCGCATCATGCATTTAATCTACACTGACAATGATCATAATAGTATAGGGAGTCAATTACTTTATCGTGAAGATGTATACATATATATATGTACATATACATATATATATATGTACATACGTACTAAAATCATCAAATATCATTTTTACAATTTCGATAAATTCCTAACTATTTGTATCAAACGAATGCCAAACATTTCGATATATATCAATATCGTATTAAACAAACACGATATATCGAAACTTCGTTTGTTTTATTATATATGAATTTATCAAGCATTTCCATATGAGACTTGACCATGTCATTTTTTTCGGATTATAAACCTCCAATCAAATTTTTATAAATAATTCATTAATACGCACAACTCGATAAATTTATTGGTTATATTAATGGCGTTATTAGACTGGGACAGTTTTAATCACAGATGCATGATCATCATGATGTCTCTTCATGCACTTTCGGCTTTTTTTTCTACTTTTCACGACGAGAATCTGCAGGCAAGTTATAATTTAGAATAATAAATTAATCAATAAATCA